CTACTGTTACTACTACTGCTACTACTGCTGCTACTTGTTTGCACGGCTACTGTTACTGCTACTGCTGCTATTATGATTATTATTACGACTACTACTACCACCACCACCGCCACCACCACCACCACCACCACCACCACCACCACCACCTTCTACTACTACCACTACCGCTACCGCTACCCCTGCCCCCACCACTACCACTACGACTACGACTACGACTACTACTACTACTACTACACGACGACGACGAGGACGACTACCCGACGAGGATGACGCGACTACTCCTTTGCTCCTCTACTACTCCTCCTTCGTGCGATAAGTTTGCAAGAACCGTTGGTTGCAAGTCCCGCAAAACGATAGAGCCCCCCAAAAGCGATAACCAATACTTCTTATTTAGCAGTAACCCAGTAATTTTTGTGGTGGCTCACATGCACTTGTGTTGGCACGTGCCCAGCCACTTGTAAGTTAAGCTGTTTCTGCAGTCCGGGTACAGCAATGTCGGCCAGGTACACTGGCAATGCCGGCGTAGTGTCTTCACCCGGTGAGGTGCCATTGAGAAGCTTTCGTGACTTTCTTCTTGCTATGGCAACCCTTGTATCAGGGACATCATCCTATGAGTTGGGGTGGTAAGGCTTGAACTGGAAAGATTAGTTGGTAGAGTCAAGGGCAGCACGAGTGCCAGCTCGGCAGGTGGAATGAGGAATACTGTGAAATTCGTTGATTGGACGAATTTTACATGCCGGCAGCAATAAGGGAGCCGGGGCGCGTGCGAGCAGTTCTTGCGACGAGGCCTACAAGCAGTGCTTCATGCTGGTTGCAGAGGTCGCTCCGAGCGCAACCAGCAGTACAGTTCATCCTTCGAATGTCTGTGTTTCCCGAGCACTCGCAAATGATTTAATGATGTCAACATCTGGGCTTGTGGCCTCAGGACAAGCCTGGGCTCATGGTGGAGGTGGTGGCCGTGGTGCGCTGCCGGCTTGGAGCGTCATTATGTTCCACACAGTACTTCCTCAAGAATGTACCAGAAGGAATCTGCGAGTCGCATCTCTTCTGTTTTCTGAGTTCCTGAGTTCCAGAGGGAACTCGTGATTGAGGTGACTGCGGCCTGGATTTTCAACGTTTCAGCGCAGAGCCCTGCGGTGACGGTGCGCCCCGCCCGACCGCTGACGTCACTCGGGGTTTCTTCATGTTTTGGCTCATGAGATCTGGTGGGTTGTGGAGTCTGCTGTGCGGTTTTGAGTCAGTCTAGAATCTAGAAGTCCTGCTGGCGATCGTACCGGGCCCATGCCAGGTCTGTGTGTCATGGTTCGGGGCCCAAGCTTGCAGAGCAAAACTTTGCTAAGCCCTGGGTCTCGTTGATCAACCTTTGGTGCTAGGTGGCAGCTGTGCAAACAGACTGCGCTTTGAGATTCGGATCGCTGATGCACAATCTTAGGCCAGGCATGAAGACGCATTGAACATTCATACAGCCTCTGTGTGTGTGTGTGTTGTCGCTATGCCGAGATATCGTGCAGAACCTGTGCTGTAGTTTCCTCAGCAAAGTGTTGTCAGAGCCGGGAAGAGCAATTTCGACATGTTGCAACTTTCCTCGAGGCTGCAGCGGCTTCCTACGGAGCTGTCGGGAGAAGCCTTGCAGGAGTGGATGCTGAAGGCGGATCCAGAGATCTTCTTACAGTACTGTGGTAGAGGAAGGGATGCCTGCTCTTGCTGCGATTTGCTGTGTTTCGAGGTGCCCTTCGAGCCTTTGGCCGACCTCTCCGTGTGGAGCTGGAAGCGAGAGGACTCGTGACACGGCATGTCTGAATCTGCCACGTAACTGCTCAGCCATTGTGTAGGCTGTCCGTCATCCACTGCCATCTCTCTGCCTTGTTGTTCACAGGCGCTGAGCTTGGTAATGCCAAGTGAAATCAGGGCGAATCAGCCCGCCTAATCTCAGCTGTGTGCGCAGCCCCGCCAAAGCTTCGTTTCACTTGTAGGCGATTCTGTTTCGATTAAAAGAGCGCTGCAGAATGCTCACAAAAGACCAGCTCAGCAACGCCAAAGCACCGTGGAGCGGCAAAATTGCCGGCATTTGTATCTGCACAGAGATGCTCTGACAGAGGCTTTTCATGGATGACATCCATTGTGGTCTGTCGAGTCAGGTCTATCTTACATTGCCCCACGACAAGCGCCAGACTTCCTGCAGCATTCGGCAAGATTCGGTACATTGAAAAAGATGGTAAAAGATGCTTCCTAGATCTGGCAGTTGTGCTTAAAGTTGGCTTGAAGACAGGAAGCTTTTCACAGCCATGGATCATTGGACAGACAGCGTGGAAAGCGCCATCAGCGCTGTTCAGCAGGCGGGAGACGCTCTGCCATCCCAGAGCCGCTTGTGCTCGCCGCTACGCAGCCTGCATCGGGCCGTCACTCGCTACGTGCACGTAGTAACGTAGTTCTCCTTGCATCAAGTTGAGACTCCCTGCTTTCACAACCACGAAATCTTGGCAGGCGATGAGCCACCCTGGCCTCTCCTCGGAATGGAGCGGTGACAAATTACACCATTGCAGCAGACACCCCATTTAGATTCACTTCCCGATTGCTTGCAGGACCAGCATTTTGTGTGCCAAACTTCGGAGGCCCGCTTCATGTCTGCACTCGCCAGCCCATCAGCTTGAAACGCCAAGGCCATCTGAGCTCTGTCCTGATGTTCGCAGGGCTTGGGGCCTATACTGTTGCTGCTGTTTCTCTTGTGTGGTTGCTTTCTGACTACTCGGTTCCAGAATTTAGGCTTGGTCTGCAACTGCCACAGCAGCCGAAATTGCAAGCAGAGAGGGAGAGAGGGAGAGTGAGAGAGAGCGAGAGCGAGAGCGAGAGCGAGAGCGAGAGCGAGAGCGAGAGCGAGAGCGAGAGAGAGCGCGATCGGGGGGAAGGCGAAGCACAGTGAAAGAGGCCAAATGGCCATTCGCGGCATCTGCTGAGTTGGGGGAATGATTCGCCTCATCTCGCCTCCCACCGGTATGGCAATGTATGGCAATGTAGTACAGCTTGGCCCTTGGGGGGACAATCCTCCGCGGGAGCCACACTACCCACCCCCACAGAATCGCGGGTTTGCATTCGCGCAAGGGGAAGTAGTAGCCGGACCACTGCTTCTCCCACGCCTAGAAAGAGAGAGAGAGAGAGAGAGATGGACCGCCTTGGGACTCCCACCTCGTAGAGAGAGAGAGAGATGGGCTGATGTGCCGGGAGAAGATGCTGGGGGGACATACCCCGACACCGTCGACACCGTGGACGAGGAAAGAACTTGGAGCCAGACTTCTCACCGCCGGCGACGCATGCATGCGGCTATGGCGGACGATCCTGAGCCTTCTGAGTGAGTGAAACAGCGCTTTTGAGAAAGGGGGGCTCCCCCTGAGGGCTTCTCTTCTGTTCAGGTTCACTTTGTCTTCAGAAGGTCCAAGGAGGGTTTTCTTTGCCGAGACTTTGGGCCCAGGCTCCTCCTAACTCCTTCCCCAACTAACAGGGGGACCCCTCTCTAACAGCTTCGCTGGGAAAGCAGTGGAAAGGAGGAACTCTTTAGCTCTGTTCAATTTTTGTAGGGGGGATGTCTTTTTGATCTTACTCGCCGGGCACAGACCTCTTTCCCAGCCGACCGTGTAACCCACCTAAAAAAGGGCTCGCAATCCAACGGCTGCCATTACAGCCAAGGCAGACGAACAGGGGAATACCCCCTACATTGTCGACTTGAACCCTGGACCCGCTACCTTAGATGCTAATCTTATGCTGTTGCTCTTTCGGTAGTTGGAAAGTCGACTGAATGCGAGACCCTTTTTAGGCAACTTAACTGATTTTGGCCTGTTTGTTTATTGTTCCATTGATAGCGCGCTTTGATGTGTACTTTCAGATGCCTCGGTGGAGTAGTTGCGTCTTTCCAGCCCCTCCAAAACAGTCGGGGGCGCGACAGCGCGCGGGTTAGGGGAGCTTCCCCTAGCCCACAGCCCTGACGAAAAAAAAAAAGAGATGGGCTGAAGGAAGAAGAGAGAGATGGGCCGGGGAGCCTAACCAGCTCCTCTAACCCGAAGGAAGAAGAGCGAGAGAGAGAGAGAGAGAGAGAGAGAGAGGCGAGGGGGGGCAACCCCCTGGCCCATAACCCTGCCGAAAGAAAGAGAGAAGCGAGGGTCAACCCTCGTCTGCAGCCCTGGCGAAAAAAAGAGAGAGAGAGAGAGAGAGAGACAGAAAGCCGTTGTGGGGTTGGCCTTCGGGCCGGGGGTTTCGGCCCCAGACCCCTAGTAAGCAAGCAAGCAAGCAAGCAAGCAGGAGAGAGACAGAACAGTACTTGTCAAGCTTTCTGCTTTTAGGGCGTGCCAAACCTGGTAGTGTAGCATTTTCGACTCCTGTGGATCACAGTCGCTCTGAAAGCAACTGAGTAAGCACGGGAACGGACCTGTTTGAGCGGGGGACGCACTCATTTCGATGGTTTTCCTAGTTGTGTAGCTTCTTATTTCACATTGTTGCGCGGTCTTCTTGATACGAGTGCGAACCCATCTGCAGGCTGTTCAGTTTGTTGCATCTTCTGCGCGGGGGAAGGTCTCTGTTGTTGCAAGGCTGCTTACACACCCTCCGAAGATATGACATTAATTCAGGCGTCCCAAAAGATACTGTCAAGTTTGAGTATCGGGGGAAGTAATAACATATGGGGGGCCAAGAGGCCGGCCCCTATGCCCTGGGGAAGAAGAAGAGAGAGACAGAGGGGCCCCAAAGCCTACCACTCACTAGCAGCTCACTAGCACAATGGGTGGTGGGGCGGGCCGATGGCCTGCGGGTTGGCAACGCTGACCCCTACGCCCTGCAGAAAGAAAGAAAAGAAAGAGAGAAAGAGAGTTCCAGGTTTGACTTTACGCTTACCGGGGAACTTTCCTTCTGCAGCCTGACAGTCCTTGTACCAGCACAGATGTTTTCCTTCTTTTTTCAAGGGATACCTCAAATCCTGGGGATACCCAACTCAGAGTGAAGCCGCGGGGGAGTAAATTCTGTCGTTACTTGCGTTTGGTATGATGCCGCCTTCCGGTTTGGTTCTTGGAGGCTTCACTGGAGTAATGACAGGGGGACACCGCTAAACCAGGGGAATCCCGTGAACTGTTTTGTCCAATCTGTCCAGGCCCGACGTGAAGTGGCTAACATGACATTTTATGCCTTTACTAGTTGCATTGTGTTGGATGTCAGTGGGGGTGGCACGGTTGGACCTTCCTTTCAAACCGAGCTGGGGGGAGCACAACGTTGCGATCCTCGGAATACCGTGGACACGGCTGCGCGCACTGCATGGAGGGGCATACTCACGAGTATGTCCCTTCGAAGCCGTTAGCACGCGAGCAAGCAAGCATAAGCAAGTAAAGAGAGTGAGCGGGGCAGGCTTTTGAACCAGCGGTTTGAATGCGTTGTGAGTGTTACCTGATGGCGACTGCGCTGGGATGCGCCGACCTGCGCTGGACGCAAGACGACTTGAGCCCCTTCAGAGGGGGGGGGGTTGCCCAGCCACCCTTACTCTGCAGCAAGCAAGATGCAAGTTATCAGTCATAGTTCATTACTCCTTCACATCCCTGCCAAGCGCCAGACAAGAGGGGGGCCCTGGTCGCTGGAAGCTTAACTCGCTACCTTGGAGAAGAAGAGATGCAGGATGTTTCTAGACTGCACATGCCGTGGCTACTGTTTTGATGGGAGCTGTGGTGGCTTTGCCTAGGCACGATGGGTTGGACCTAACGAGGGGTCGGGAAGACAGAACGAATGCAGGCCCAAGGCTAGACCGCTGTCGTGCGACACCTGTGTCGATTACGAAGTATCGCCCTGTCTCAGCGGCAGTCCTGTCGATGACCAAACTCTGCACATCCCACTTGCTTTCTTGATCCTGCGCAAGAGTTCGAGCGTAAGCCGGGGCTAAGCCGGAAATGTGTGGTCTTGTTCTGGAACATGCTCGGTCGTAGTTGTTTGATTCATGTGCTTTCTTTTTGACATCCTTCGACCGCATAGAAGGCAGCCTCATCGACATGATGACGGTGTGCAGGGGGGATGCAACATCGATCTTTGTGGAACTGGAAAAAGCTGTGATCTACACGGTTGCTTGACCCCTGTTTCTTGCTGTGCAAGCTTGCCCCTACTGCAGTGGAAGAAATGCGACGTACACAGGACCAACATGGGGGCATGAGCTGCCTCGTCGTCAGTTACTAGCATTTCACCTTCGCCTCATGGCTGTGGCTGCCCACGGCTGCTTGAGCGGCAGCAGCTGTTTCCGGCCTTGTGGTCGGGAGGACCACGTTGTTAGTTGAGACAGATGGTGGCATCACCTACAAGGACATACATATGTGTGGAACTTGCCTACTCCGCCACTGAGCGTGCGTCGGAGGAGGGACGTTTGCACTGCAGTATGCTCGCTTGACTGTCAAGCTTCTTTTTGTTGCATCCCGACTCCGAGCCACAATCTAGCAAGCTTCGTTCTGAAAAGAATTTTCGAAGTCGCAGGCAGTCCAGATTCCGTGTGAGTCCTTCACCATTATGCGCTGTCTCGTCCAGTGGGGGGATGCACAGAACACAGTAGAAGAAACTCAGAAGCGCAGATCTTCAGTGTGCGATCTTCAGCCGGCAGCCCACACCGGAGACCCTTCATGGCACATCTGAGAACGGCAGGTGCTTGAGAAGAATGGCTGGTCTCGCAGTACCTTCCCCAGAGCTTGTCATCTCAGCGAGCGAGGTTTCCGTTACGTTCTGCTAAGCGTGGCATCGAAAGAAATGGACAGCTTCCAGTCACTTGTGATAAGCCTTTGCTATCTTCGCTCAAGGTGCTACTCGTAGCACTGCAAAGGAGGCCTTCGTGCCTTCAGACATTTTTTGGACTCACTCATTGGTCATGATGAGTTTTTCTTGGACGTGCTAGGCCCGTACTGGTTATCTCCGCATACTGCTTTTACGAGCTTATGGTTATTGAGGACTACTTGCTGGTAGATGGCTACTGGTTGCTGACTGAAGTCTCTCCAAACCAGCCATCGTACGAGCATGGGGCGCATGCGCCCCACCCCAGCGCACGAACAAACTTCCTTCATGCTGTTGTGGAAACCGCACAACGCATCCTTGGCAGAAAGTCTCGGTGCACTGGGCCGCGAAAGCATTTATGGTTGTGTGCATTCGCCCCCCCCCCCTCTCTCTCACCAATTCATGGGGAACTTTACTCTCACCCACCCCTAGGTTCCTCTCTTCACCCACCCACTGAGTTCCCCTTTCACCCACCCCAATGTTCCTCTCTCTCTCTCTCTCTCTCNNTTCCCCCCCCCCCCCCTCCCTGCCCCTCCCGCGCCCCACGCCCAGCCTCAAGGCCCAAGCGAGGAGGGGCAGGCAGAAGCGTTGACGGAAGGCCGGCGCCGGGCGCCAACCATCTTACTCAGTCTTGTGGCAAAATTGAACCTGGATGCAAGACCTTCTGTGGGTCTCCCTCACGCCGTGCCGGCAAAACTAGGGCGGCATCAACACTCTCATGGAAAGAGCAGGTGAAACATGTCAGGATTCCTTTCCGAAAAGTGGTATAATATCGCAGGCTTGTCGTGGGACATGGTCGGGCAACAGCTATTTGATGTTTTCGTAGTTTGAACCCACTGAAATTCCTAGTCCTAGAAGCTGGGGTGACCATCTGGGAATTCCCGGAATATCCGAAACTCTTGTGCTCTCTCGACTGTGTCAGGTCCGATGCCATGCTTTGTCGCAACGACTGCGCAATTCTTTTACGTCATCTCGTTATCCTATTCCAGAACAAGTCCGGTTATGGGCTGGGAGTGATTTTCACAGAGGTCACGAAGATCACTTGTCCAATTAGGGTTTCGCCAGGACGACTTTTCCTTGTCAGGCTTTACCCGTACTCGCCGCAGTTTTCATAGGAAAGCTTCGGAGAGCAAAAATGGAAAACAGGAACTCCACCATTCTCTGCGCAAGCGCACCATGGGCTTGCCCGTGATGCTGTCTCTGGACATACTGGACTCCACTGGACCCGTGCACTCTGGGCAACCTTGGGGTCGCTTGAATAGTTCTTTTCCGGGAGAGGTTTATGCATGAGCAAAGCTTAGGGCCTAGGGTGCTGAACTTGGCGTTGTTAGTTACTGTGTTCGATTCCCGAGGCCAGTTCCGAAGTCCGCCTGTGCGAGAGCTGCTGCTCAGGCGCTGCACGTTCGGAGCTTCAAGAGCTCAGAAGCCGAGTCTAAGCCTCTATGCAGGGACTTGCGGGACCTGGCACAGTCCGCGCGAGCCTGAACCCGCTCCCAGAGGGAAGAGAGCTGAGAATATCTCTGCCGCAAGGATCATGGGCCGCCAACCAGGTCGCTGAGAGCCGGAGTATAATAGAGCCCAGACTCTCGAGCCGAAGGATCGACGACGAGCGCCGCTTTGATCGTCAGTATGTCATTGAGGCCCAGTGGGAGAAAGTGCACTTTTTGCGTGCCGTCGCTGGGATCTCGGGCGTTGCGAAGTTGCAAGTGTGAGTCGGAAGAAGTGTGCCCACCATGTAAAACGACCCCATGCGACACCTGTGATCCGCATCCCGCCATGGGCTAGCTCTCGACAGGTGATGAGTCGCATGGTGCGCGCGCACCAAGTACCACCATGAGTCTGTGCCTGTGCACACTGCAAGCAGGACACGCATGAAAATGGGTTGCTCGCCTACACACAAATCGACATGCACAACCGTGGAAAAGAACAACGCAGGAGCAATCGACATGCGGCAAGCCGTGTGGCATCGGAAACCCATGCAAGATCGATCATCCGAATCTGTGCGACAGCGAAGAAATGCCACGACAACAGGCCACCACCCATGTTGTCTCGGCAGTTTTCCATCTGATGCTGTATGTGCTTCCAGTGCTGTGAAGGGCATTCTGACAGCCCCCATGATTTCTCGCCTGTGGCTTTGGCAGGAGAAAGAGAAACCGGTGGGTGAAGGTACCTATGGTGCAGTGCACCGTGCCTTCTGCAACCGTTTGACATCCTGGCACAGTGTTGCTAATTGTCTTGGTTTGACACACATGGATTGGACTTTACGATGAATGCCCGCCAGGCAAAAAACGGTTGCGATAAAGCGTGTCAAGATGGAGCACGAAGATGAGGGAGTTTCTTGCCCAGCTTTCTGAACTTGTAATTCTGCAGGGACGTTCATCCCAACCTGACCCCGCGCATATCCTGCCAAGATGCCGAGCACGGCTATTCGCGAAGTCGCCGTGCTAAAGGTGCAGCAGCTCTAATCAGCACAAGTTGAAGGGTCTCTGAGAGTGGCAGCTTCATTGCAGAGATGCTCAGGCTGCTGATCATCCGAACGTTGTGAAACTGAGCTCGGCTCAGTTTGCGGCACCGTCGTCGTTCAATAGGGTTGACTGGCTGTTAGTCAGGTTGGATGTTGCCTGTAGTCCGGGGCGACTACACCTGGTTTTTGAGTTCGTGGATGCGAACTTGAAGCAGCGCACTTCCCAGAAATGGCCATGTCGACAGCTGGGATCCAGTAGCCACGGAGTTGTGGAGTCGCAAGGTACATGAAGAAGTTTGGGCTGCGGCTGGAGCCAGAAGTCGTGGCTCGCCGGAAGTTTCGTTGCGAATTCCCTGCAGCTTACAGTTTAAGAAGCCTTAGCTCCGCTTTTCTCCTCCTCGGCCCTGGAAGGTGCGGTCCCTTCAGAAGCAGCTGATGAACGGCATTGACTACTGCCACGCTCGCAGGCCAGCAGGGATCCTCTGCGTGCTACACACATACCCACACACACAAACACATCCGAAGTACAGATGGTTTGGCAGGGGAGTTAGAACAACATCTGTCCAGGATTATCCACCGGGATCTCAAGCGCTGAGCTCAGCGTTTCAAGCTTGCTGCAGCCCGGAGTTGACTTGGCTTTGTGGTCCATGCTCATAGTTAGGCCTCAGAACATCTTGGTTGATGGTGAGGCACGCCCGAAAGTTTCTTGAGTAGCTCTGGGTCCAGGGCTCCAGATCTGCAAGTGGTCATGGTCTCTCGCAGTCAGCATGTTCAAGGATCACCTTAAGATTGCCGACTTTGGCATGGCACGTGCCAGATGCTCAGAAGCATTCATGCTGAACGAAGCAGCCCTGTGAGGCATGCAGCTTGTGTCTGTTTTGCTGGGTGCCAGGCCTTTAATCTTCCACTGCCGAAGTACACGCATGAGGTGGCAGAGCGGGTTGCACAATGGCTTCAGTGTTGAGGACGGGCCCGTCCTTTGTGATCCAATCTTGTGCTTGCTCGTAGGTGGTAACGACATGGCCGGTCCCTTATCGTGACATCGCCAAGCGAAACACATCTGTATCAGTTAATTCTGAGGTATCGCTCCCCTGAGATACTGTTTGGATGTGAAGAGTACTCGCTAGGAGCCTGCCTCAGCATGTTTTGCGGATTCATAGTCGATGAAGTGCACTGAGAAAGGGGCCGCCAAAACGAAATTGGGTCTCAGCCCCAAAGCATGTATGTTTTCGACGTCCATCGTCCATTCCAATCCTCCTCCCGGGTTGCGATGAAATTGTCCGAGCCAGAATCTCCATTGACATGGTCCCTTTGGAAGATCGCAAGCGTCGAAACCTTCCCTTCAATGCCACAATGTCTCGAGCTCGCCTTGGCTTTTGCTCTTGTGGACTGGCATCGGGTCAACAGTCCGGACTCCCTCACCTGCCGAGAGTGCAGATCGCAGCGGAGGTCCTCACCAGGCCACGCGAGCATCGAATCGGGCCACGGGTCAATCTCACGGGTATGCGGACATAATCGGACTTACGGGAAGATGCAAGGAATAATGCTCTCACCGACTCTCACCCAGTATCGGCCACACACGGCAGCATGCAATGTGCATGCAAGTCGCCGCTTTATTTCACATCGCTTACTTGATGTATGCATCGATGAGGGTCCACACTCGGGAATCGCACGGTCCCTTCTATTTGTTGACGATCTTTTTGGTCCATTTGGAATCGAGCATGGGGAACAGCTGGCTTTGCTACGTTGAGATGCCACTGCACAGTCTCGAGCAGTTGCTTGTATATTGTCCACACTGGAGTTAAGCTTCTGGCACTCGAATGATATGTATTCTCACCGACTGAAGGTTAGATAATTTTTGCTCAATTTCCAACTCCGAGCTTGCGGTCAAGCGGATGCTCCGGCTATACCAAGCTCGTGCGAAAACGAACTCCAACAAAAGGAAGGCTCATGTTTGCTGCCATTGTACTGTTCGCTTTTGTGGTCGTTGTCTGTGTGCGCTCATTACTATTACTATTACTGCTGCATACTTTTCGTACTATTGGTGTTACTGCTTTTCTGTTACAGTTGCCCTACTATTACTATGGCTGTGGCCATGACTATAACTACTTCTTACTTCTATTACCATTGTTGTTTCTTCTACTGAGGTTGTTGCTATTGCTAGCCACTTGGTAGCATTATCATCTTTAATGTGCTCTAGGTTCTATTGCTGACATGATTGTTCTTCCTATTCCAAACACTAGTGCGGCTAATACTCTTACTACTGCCATGACTGTTCCCATTACCACAAACAATACCATAAGATACCAAAAGTATCACTGATACTAGTACTAGTACTGTTTCTGTTGCCCTTTCCAGTGCAACTACCACCCTCTCCACTATAACTATGGCTGTGACTCGGCTTTGGCTGTTACTAGTACTATGTTTGTGATCATAAGTATTGTTGCCACAGTTATTAGTACTATCATAGTAAGCAATACAAAGTAACAACAGGCAACGGGAAAAGAACGACAATGCCTGCAGAAAATCTCCACAACTGACAAAATCTGTGGACGGAGCGACACGCCTTCTGCAAGCGGTGCTGAGCCCCTGGACAAGCTGATTGATTATGTTGGCAGGACTCACTGGACGTCCGCAGTTGCTTGATGTAATTAGCTCCTTTCCTAGCAGTGAAGATTACTTCGCTCGAGGGTCCTGGGGAAGAAGTTTCAAATCCTAAGTCCATCACAAGCTAAGGCAAAGTAAGTCAAACATTCGAACAAGTCGAAACGGGCTGGAGGTTGTCTGGCAACACTCAGCACTCGGTGAATGCCTCTATCAGCTTGAAACACGCAATATGCGCGGCATTCCACTCTCATGCACTCTGTGCCTCTTTGACTTTGGGTACGGCTTGATCGCAGCAGTGTTGTTTGGGGGTTTTCTGTTCGGCAGCGCCATTCGTAGGCATAGGCATAGGGCATAGGGCGTCTGCAGCCTGGAATTGTGACGGAATCTGTTTGTTTGCCTCGCTGTTGAATTTTTCGAAGTTCGTGTCTGGTGACGCAGCGCCTCGTGTGGGCAGTGGGATACGACTTGAGCAGACTGTCCAACGTGTCACACTCATTCCCTTTGAAGTTCGTGGAGGAGTGTTGAGCAACACTTGGTCACTTGGTATTGTCACACACTTCAGGCGTGGATGTCTGGAGTGCTGGATGCATCCTTGGCGAAATGGCAACTGGTGTGGTCCCTAGTTTTGAGCTCCATTTCACGAAAGCTGACATGCCGAGACAAAGGTGCCGCACTCTTCCATGGAGACAGCGAAATCGACACTATCTTCCAGATCTTCCGAAAGCTCGGAACGCCAACGGAGGCCTGAGACGATAAGCTCATCGAGGTGTTTCTGCAAAATTGCTGATGTCCGTGAGCTTGTGTCAGGCCCGATTGTGATATGTTTCGCGGCTAGTAACGGCTAGTAGAGGCTACAGTAGAGGCGTTCTTCGCTCCAGACAGGAACGCTAATGTTATGCCAGCATGTCATGGCCCTGGGACTTATAATTTGCTGCCTTCCCCTGAAAGGGGCCTGCATCAGCATAGGCTGCCGGTTCCCATGGCCACGAAGTGGAAGTGGCTCACCGTGCTCTGGGAAGCTTCTCTAGACTCTGGAGTACTCTGACGAAAAGCCCCCCGTCGTGATGGTTTGACAGGCTGATTGGCCTGGGCTCTCGAGCCTTCCAGACTTCAAGCCGACATTCCCTCAGCTTCTTGGCAAGAATGCAGTCAACAGGATGCTTGTTCTGGGAGAGGTCTTATTGTGAGGCCCTAGGTGTCCCACGTCGTACAAGCAAGTGACTTTCTGGAAGATGATCAGCAATCCCTTTCGCCATGTAAAGCAGCAAAAGCCAGATAGCATACAGGCTACAGTGTGCATGAACATATGCATGACCGTCAATAGCTTTGCACATGTGCTGCTTCAGCTATCAGTCGAACTGCCGCGACAGAGTATTGAGTACGTCAGAATTTCAGAAGCCAGGCAGCAGTCCACCACAGTCTAGCATAGGTCATCATTAGCCGCCACAGGCTGTCAAGGGAAGGACACCGGCAAGGGAGTGTGGGCATGGGGTTCGGCCCTGCGACAGTGGCTGTGGGGGAGAGCAAGGTTGGAAGGCTGGGCAAAAGGTGGGCGGGTGGGGGTGTTGGGGGGGGGGGGGGGGNNGAGTGGTGGGGCAGGCAGGAAGCTGGGTAGGGGTGGGTGCAGGTTGCTGTCTGCGCATGGGCACTAGACCCTCACTAGACTAAGTGCAGTCACAAGGGTCGAGATCAAAGTCGAAGTATGCGTGCAACAGAAGCAGAGAGAAGATTCAACACTGCCGTGGCTTGGCATTGACACTGACATCAGGTGGAGGCGTCGGCCTTGGACCGAGATTCGGAATATCGCATCGCAGCTTGGTTCTGCTAGCCACTCAGTTCTCAGACAGAGATGTCAGGCATGAGGGTGCAAGGTTCCGTGTAAGTTTGAAATCAATCCTTCCAGGCTGGCGTGCGGCTTCTGGACACCAGCTGTCGTTGTAGATTTGCTGATATTTGCTGAATCCTGCTTTCGTCGGCTACTTTCTGGAATCATTTGGCCAAGAGATCCTGGCAGGATTCAATGTTGCGATATGACCCCGCATGCCGTGTTTCTGCGAAGCAGACACTCCAGCATGAGTGCTCCCAGCTGGCGAAGCATTTGTGGACGACTGAGCTTGCAGGATGGCTGATCCGCCAGATTTGCCAGGTACTTCATGGTGGACTCCGACACGATGGATGCCATCATGGCAGACTGAATCCGCGCGAAACGAAACGACAATTACATTCTGCAGCCAGGCCTTTTATCCGAGCTGAAACTTTCGGGCTATCGACTACATTGACTACATCATAGCCATTGCGCTTCGTTCAGAATGGTGCCTGGCTGTCAGGATGTCCATGGCCGTAATTAATGTATAATTTGGAACGCACCCTTCCAGTCAATTCATGTGCAAGCACACCGTTTATGCAATGACGCCAGATCAATGCCTGCTGATCGTAAACTGCGTGTGGGATTCGCTTGTTGTAGAATTTCTTGAGCCAGCAAGAGGTTGGCTTGAACATGCTTGGACCGTCCGTGCATCTGACGGCCTTCGCTGTTGAAGCTCACAAGCGGTGTTGGGTAGTCCATAAAAAACTTCGTCATGGGGCGCCGAGTCAGAGGCGCCTCATGAGCCGCGATCTCAATTTGTTCATCCGGAGTGGCCTCAGGTTCCACTGCTTTGGTGGCTGGCGCAGGTCTATGTGTGTGACTCAGATGGGGACACGAAGTCGCAATCGATTTGGTTACTGCAACCTTCAACGAGAAGTCCCAAGGCTTGGTGCCCGGAGTTCTTTTTGTTCCCTCTCTGTCGTCGCCATCCTCAGTCCCTCGCGCTGTTCCTTGGTGACAAAGCGCAGCACACATGTTGGATCATGTTGGCTACTTTTCGATGATGCCTGCATGTGCAGGCGCCTGTCTCGATTCCATCTGTCCGAGCTCCGGGACAAGGCGTGGATCTTGGTCACAAGGGCTTGGCCATGGCGGGACACTTCGATTAGGTGAGTCTGGCCTGATGAGCTTCGTGGGTGCCGCAACGACGGCAGCCCTGGCTGCGTGCTGCTAAGATCTGCTAAGTGCGACTCGTGAGCAGAGTTCAATACCAGGGGCGCTCAGGTTTGCGTGGGACGCGTCACACGCGCCGCAGAGCCTGTCGAGGCAGGAGCTGGCTCGGAGAAAAGGAACTTCATGGAGCTTCAGAGGCAACCAGCACCCTTGTCACAACTGAAGCTCAAGTTGCTTATGTGTGCATCAGTGAAGGATTCAGGGGCGGGAGGGGTCGCGCTCATCTCACAAGCCTTGTAGTTTGATGATAGTTTCAATATGTCGTTCTAGTAGGTGAGACAGGACACGTGCCGCGGCATGAATAGTTACGACGCGTGCGATCCGGTCGCCGGTGCACAGACTTCGCGAACGGGTTCCTCTGCGTGTGAAGTGTGTGAGGCAGCTGCGACTCCAGCCGAGAAAGATGCAGATGCCGAGGCCCAACAATCAGTTGCTGCCCTTTGTCCAAGAGTGTGGATCAGATATGATCAGACACTCTGTCAGTGGGTGTCGCATGGGTATTAACTTGTTAACACCGCAGGCGGCGGCATCAACGACAAGCACTGCGACTGAGGCGCCAGTGGTGAGCATTTGGGCACAAACTCAACACTGGTCCTTGTTTGAGACTTGGTACTGCCGCGTGCGGTACTCTTTCTCCTGCACGAACTGACTGGGTCTGCAGGAGTTCTAGCTTCAACTTATTCTCGGTTGTAAAGGAGAGCGAAGTGCCAGCAGAGAGCGCGGACGAGGTGCACCCCCTTGAGCGTTTGTCCCTTCCAAGCATGTTAGCTGCCTGCGCTCGAAATTGGACTCTCTGTGGCTCCATGAGATGCCCAAAGGCCAAAGACCATTCCCTTGGTCCATTGCCTGAGTTCCATCCATGGCAGCCGCATCCGGAAGCAGGGCGAAGCCAGCCGACAAAGAGTGATCCAGGTGAGTGAGGCAAGTTGTACATATTGAGTTTCTTCGTTTCACAACTCTTCTACGAAAGATCTACTCCACTGTTGACGGCTGGACAAGAGCCGAGAGTGAGCAACAGACTTGCAAAGGTTTCGGCTTCAAACTGGTTGCTCATGTAGATTCCAGAGCGACTCCATTCAGTTGACTCACGGATGGAGTGTTCTTACCCACTCTTACCTACTCAACCCGAACGCAAACTTTCTTTTGTTGTTGCAGGCCACAGAAGGAACAGGCGGCAAACATGAGGTGGAACATGACGAGATATGACGATCCTCTTCAAGCAGAGCATAGCAGAGCACAGCAGCTCCCCAGCGCCCACATTGAAGCTCCGCTCCACTCTACTCCGGAGCCTTCTCGAGAGCAGGAAGCGCCGAAGGGCTTCGACATCGCCAAGCCCAAGCCTTATGCGTTCTTGCTGCACCGTGGGGTCCCGCTTGCATAGCTAGGACACGAACTGTGGCCAGCGTTGGGCATAGGGAAGTGGCGGTGGGTTTCCGCAAGAGCTCAGGTGTACTAATCAGGGTACAACTTTGATCGCATTGCTAAGGTTTCTGCGACAGACATTAAGAAATTGAGCTAACCTCTCATGTCACTTTGGACTTCTGTCTCGCTATCGCTGTCTCGCTCTCTCTCTCGCTCTCTCTCTCTCTCTCTCTCTCTCTCTCCCTCCCTCTCTACCGACACTCTTGTGGAAATCGAAAAGGTGCTTTTCTGTCGGTGCCTTGATGCTGGCCTGTCGGTCGACGATTCGGTTCTGCATGGTGACTTATGACGTGCTGCAACAGATGTTTGGCGGCTTGTCCGGAAGGGCAGTCAGCATCAGAGCTGAGATAAGAGGAACGTTCTACGTGCAGCTTTCTGTCTGCAGCTTGGTTGTTGGCACTCAGTCTTGAGCCAGTTGTTTCTTACAAGGCCTGCTCGCGGCAAATGGGGCCTGGGTTGCTCATTCGCACAGTTGCTTTCGATTTTTGACATGAGCGCGGTTCTCCCGATCTGCGCAGCCCCTTGTCTCCCGTTTGTGCTTGAATGCTGCATAATATGTATATGCTAGCGCACTGCCAAAAAACACGTGATGCATCAAACTGCATGCACGGCCAACTTGCAGGCAGGTGGGAGCCACACCTCCACTGGGCTTTTGGGATCCTGCGAATCTGTGCAAAGGCCTGACACGGAATGTGTGAGTTCGTAAGTTTCAGCCGAGAGAAAGCAAGAGAGAGTTGTGCCGCCCCGCGGTCTTAGCCGACCCAGCCTGGGAGGGTCACCACCACCCGGGGACATCGATTAGTGGAAGCGGTAGTCGTAGTCGCAGTAGTCGTCGTCGTCGTCGTAGTGTAGTAGTAGTAGTA